TCTGCCAAGGGAGAATGCCTTGTGAGCCTTGTGAGTGGTACATTTAGAAACACGGCGCTCCAGGTCCACAATATATAGGCGCCGTAGTGCCATTTTTGCACTGAATAATTCTATTTTATAATTATAATTCTGAAATTGTAATTACAGTTTTTAAGTATTGAAACGCAAAAGGAATTGCTATTGAAAACCTGTCATTAGTTAGTAGGCGTACTACCACTACCACATGCAAAATATATTCATATATTAATGCCATTCAAACGATAGGCGTGTCTTATTTTGCCCCTACTTAAGCTTTTAATTTGCATTAATTCCTTTGTGTATTGTTTCTACATATTATTTTTCATTATTGTTATTTTTTGAATTTTTGCATCTATTTAATTCTTGCGTTTCTGGATCCGGGCCTAGTGGGCTAATGGGAAATCCGCCACTGCTCCCGGGAGTTTATGGGAAACTGACCTCTATTTAAATGTTAGATACTTGAAAAAATTCGAAAAATTCCTAGCAGCCAGTCCGTTGGTCAGGTGCGAACCCACAACCAACTACAAGCGTTTAGTGGTTTTATACACGAAACACTGGTAGTTGGTTGGTTTTTCACTGGTTATTGATGGGCTTTTCGAAAATGCAACTTTATATTACTTAGCCTGAGAAAATAACATTTTCACGCATTACATATCTTTCGTGTTAGGTCACAGGAGAGACAAAATATGCATTTTGGTACACAAGCTATCATTATCTAAGATAATATTTACAGGATAAGAAATGGAAGGAGGCAGTTCGCAGTTTAAATGACCGGTGGATCGATAATCTTGGGTACGGTTCACCAGTAGTGGGTAAAACCAATGAATACTGGTTCACGCCTGTTAGAATATCGTCCACGAGTTGCGTTTACCTTGTTTCATCAAACCAAAAACCTTTATTTTGAAAACCATTGCACTACGGTGTTAGAATAAAAATAGAATCCTCCACCTATTTTCGAAATGTTATATAGGAGAATTACGTAAGCTATATACAGTACTGTATTCTGATAAATATTTTGCAAATGGCTTTAGACTACAAGAACTCCAGAATCAGGAGGAAGCTGAGTTAGCCATGATCCATTCACCTTTTTCATGCTAAAAAGAAACTTAAAAATGCAAATTAGAAATATTGTACTTATTTAGTGTAAAGTTATATACGAAATATTTATTTAAAAATTTTTTATGGAAAAAAAAGATTGTTTCAGGGCTTAATTAATATATAGGTTTATTGTAATTTAATATCTGTTTTAAGCCAGCACTGGCCCTCCACTAAAAATTTGCTTCCGTATTTTTATCAGCTAGTCGCCTATATTCCTTTTGAGAAAATTTTATAGAAACACTTCTTTTTTTTTGTTTTGACGCCTTTTTAAATATGTCTATGCCGAAAGCAACTAGAGAGATTGTATAACGGTAGTCATGTCACAGAAAACGTTAACTCCATTTTAACGCTAAATAACACGGGACATGTGAGTCGTAGAGTATTATTATTATTAGTTTTTTTGGGGTTACAATTTGAAAAATGGTATACTTACAAATTCTCACTGTCGCCCGTCTGTTTTCAGTCTGTCTATCTTTCCTTAAGGAAGGCCCGATTAACTAGATACGAATTTCCGATGAAAACCGGAAGTCACATTATTTCAATTCAAAACTTTCCCCTGAAAGCAANAACTAGTTTCAGCTAGACAAAACGGGTTTTAACAAAGACATTTAGTATAAACTAGTTTCAGCTAGACAAAACGGGTTTTAACAAAGACATTTAGTATAAACTAGTTTCAGCTAGACAAAACGGGTTTTAACAAAGACATTTAGTATAAACTAGTTTCAACTAGTTAAAACGCGTTCTAACTAAAAACGCGTTTTGACTGTAACATATATATGTATAGCTGAAAAAGAATTTATTTTTTTAACTTTTCCTTCCGTGGACACTAAGCGGGCTTTTATAGTATTCATGGAGGATTTGCAACATTGCAGTGGAGTAATCAGGCGGCGAAGGACAGGATCCGGCATATTACAGTCAAGACTTTTGAGGATTTAATCTTGACTCGAATCAGGATCCTTCAGAACGACAGTTTGTATCAGTCTGATTGGTATAAGCCATTAAGAGCCATATCCATTCCGTCAGAATGTTGTGGTCCTTAATGAGATCAAGTAACGTGGATAAATGATAGGAAATTGAACTTTGATTTGAAGTGATCACAAAACAGAAAACAAAAATGGGCGGATTCGATTCCGGATCGTTGCTACAAGAAGAGAATTCTTTACCCCTGGACAGGGATATCATTTCAATGTCAAGATTTTGAGTAAAATTAATTTAAAATATCAAGTATTTTGTTTCAGACAATCATTTTTCTTATATAGACTGATATTATCAATTGAAACTATATGATAATTCATATATTTAAAATATGAACACAACATCCAATATTCCAGTTTATAATATTGTCCGACACATACAAAAAGTACAGTAAATAGGATAGTTCATGTACTGTACTGTATAATTTAACCATTATAATTCTTACCGTGTGTAGGCTACTCAGCAGAGAGAATATAATCTTACTACCATACTTGAACTTTTTGCTAAGAGAATTATCATTATAATTTTCTTTTATGTGAGTATTTTCCTTAACAATTGTAGCAATATTAGGCTTTATTTTTCGGATTAAATCAATAATATATTTCTATATTTGGTAAACTCTTATTTAACAATACTACAAACAGCAAAGCTACAATAAAATATATCGTTCACTTATAAGATTCAACTTCCTTCATAACTTGTCAATAAGAACTGGCAACTTCATGACTGACAACTTAATACTTCTCAATGATGGTCTATACCAGTGTTCCGCAACCTTTTTCTATTCGCGGCACACCTATGACTCGACATGACTCAACACGGCACACCAAAATGTTATTCCCCTCAATAACGTATATGATACTATTAATAGAATTTCGTAATGCCATAAACCACAAAACTCAATTATGTTGAGTTTTGTGAGTTACACTAGGTGGACACCGATGGCTGTGTACTATGCCAGACCAGAGTCAAGGCATAGTAACTTCAAAAAAAAAATGATGGCCTTTTT